TGTCATTCAGTAGCACTCTTGCTTGGTTTATTTAAATCTATTTATAGCCTGTACATGCTACTTGCACACTAAATGAAAATAATATATTTATACCAGTGGTGTAGTCCTAGTCCTTAATATTAATGCAGTGCACTCTAAAATTGGTTGACAGATAGTAGTCTACTGCATGACTTCCAGGTTGTTCCAGGTCTGTTGACCACATTACAGTTCTATATATAATTTCAAGTTGCTTTGGAATTGTATTCATTGTGAAAAATGTTTTACAGATAAATCTGAATTTAATGTTTTATTTTATGCAACTGGGTAGAAAAAAATAAGTTTATGAATTGATGAAATAAATATTTCCAGATAATATTTTCTTAAATTTGCTTTGGCTTTAGCACAGTGGAAATTTAAAAGACAATAATTTAATAAAAATTTATATTTATAGTGTCATTAAAATAACAACATATCAGTGCGGCTCAAAACACCAAGCGCGAGCGACAATGAGCGGCGTTGAATGACAGAAGTGATATTGCACCAATTACAAAGAATCACGAATTTCACACAGCAGTATGGGACACCATTCAAGGGGAAGCTAAATGACAGTAGATTACGGACTTGCGAAGCAACAAAACAAGTGGGTATACCGAGGGTATACGCGAATATTGATCCTTAGAAGTCGTAATACGCAAACATCCCGGGGAAAAAAAGTAAGCATACGGCGTATACTTGCGTATGGCCCCGACTACACCACTGATTTATACTAGCATGTATTACTATTATATATAGAAGTTGTTAAAAGTCAGGACTGCCCAAAAACATACCATTTTAAGTGTATAGACAAGCCATATGGCAGAGAAGTTAAATGCGTTTAATACACATTAATGTATCTTCTAATCTTATATTTTAAGATGAGCTAAAATTCATTTCTCATTCAGAGTCACAAATTTTTATTGAATAGATCTTATGTGAACAAATAGTTGCTTAAAAAAAGTGGTAAATTACACAAAACTCGAAGCTGTCAAAGATGCCTTATTAAAAAAGAAAACGTGGGAAATGATTATGCGGATGTTGTAATTGCACTCACCGTTTGTGTTTTGTAGAAGAGAGTTTCTTCGGCTGGTACTGATGCCAATGAACCAAGACGGCACTTGTGTTGCAGTCTCATCTCTCCTCAACTTCACCTCAGGAAATGCGTTTGCGGTGAGAGCAGAAACAGTCCGCTGCTTGTCATTTCTGTCCTCATTTTTAGGTCCCCTTTTATGCTGCTTAAAACACTAATGAATGAACATAATGCAGAACAAATCCAAAAAACACATTGAACTCCTGAGTAATAAGTCAAAGAGATTATCACAAAAGAGTAATAAAGAAGCCAAGGCCAGTTAAAATAGTTTTATGAGTTTTATTTCAGCCACTACAACCAACTACACCAGCTAAATCCTTTTTTTAAGAGTAAAATGCTTTAAATATCTGGATACATTTAGATCATAGTCAAAAAAAATGGTTGAATGTGCTATTACTCTTGATACACATGCACAGATGTAATTCAGTGACAAAAGTAAACTTAAAACCTGTTGAAGATGATGTTTGAAGAACATTATTTTATTATATTTTGCGATGATAACATGAATACATTCATATTAACATAACATCTGGATATTGCTGAATATTTCACAACATAATATAAGAAAAAAATACAATTGTAACATATTTACAATTATACAAAAATGGACCAGTTTTATTTCTTTCTTTTGGAAATTACCAGTAAGGTTGTTCTGCCACATTTTCTCAATCTGTAAATAATGTTTTAATAGACAACATATAATGTTAGTCAGTGAAGTACGGTTGAAGTACGGTCCTTTCTTGTTTATTACTGTACACTCCCACATTTGCTAAAGGTTACCGAAGACTGATACGTGTTTGGTAATAAATATTGATCCTGTGTTGATATGGTCTGTTGTCATTTTGAACTTATGCCACCTAAAGGAACAAAGCATAATTTAGACCCACTATCAGAAAATCGTATAAGGCACCATGCTGAAACCATAAATCAGTATCTAGATATTGCAAAACTATTAGCAATAAATGCAGTAAATAAATGATTTGACCTTTAGAAATTGTCATCTTTTTATGTAGAGTACATACCTCTTTGTGACTGCATGTACCACAGATGCAGCCAAAGAGACCGTTGAGCACCTGGAATCCACAGAGCAGCAGCTCTAAACAAGCAGCCACCAGCAGAGCAGAAGACAGGCCAATATTAAACTCCACAATATTTTCTGGTTCTTTGCAAATGTCCCAAAGGTCAGAGTCTCCCAAATAGCTTGCAGTGCTGCAAAATAGTAAATAATAATAATAATAATAAATAACAAGAACAACAACAAAAAACGTGTCACATTAAAAAAAACAGTAGCGCTCCACAAACACTGTTAATAGGGCCAGAGAGAGAGAGAGAGGGAGCCTCTATTTCTCTCTATAAGTCGTTTGCAATAAATGTTCTTTTCGGGCTGGAAAGGATGTTTTCAGTTCTGAAAAGAACCTCTTGACCCTCTTAGGCCCTTTGAAATGTGATGGACCATTAATTTTCATACCTGTTTAGGAATGGTCTGCTCCATGTACCATCTTCAACACTGCAAACTGGTCCACGAATCAGTCCAACCACAGCTATAGTGCCACTGTACAGGGCACCAGCCACACCAACTGCAGCGAAGATAATGGACAGGAACATCTAATGGACAAAGTCAACACAACCGGAATAGGTTTATTAAAGGGTCACTAAATGGAAAGTGTAGAAGAGCATATTTGGTCATGATTGGAATGACGTGAGGGTGAGTAAATGATGATAGAATGTTTCTATTTTGGGTGAACTATCTCTTTAAAATGATGAATATTCCTTTTTTAAGTAAAGTGGACACACCTGCTGTAATGCTTAGGCAGTATTTCAATTATTAAAATATATTAGAGTGTAGACCTAAAAAAAAAAAAAAAATCTAATCAAAGCGGTGACCCTAGAAGAACTCACCCCACAGCGGTTTGCACAACAGCCTTGACTCCCAGTGCTATGAATGTGGATCGCAGGGATCAACACCTAAAAGGGAAAAACAATAGAAGCTATATCAGATGTAGCCTACAATTAATGCTCTCTTTTTAGGATATTCCAGTAAATAGTGACAATAAACTGGTCCGACAACAGAAATGTCAAAGGAAAACTCAGTGGCAATACAATGAGAAAGAGGAGAATTTCCTCACCAAGATGCCTCCTCCAACAACGCCTCCCATGTATTTGATCTCATCCGTAAGACGGTAGAGTCCCTCTGCTGCCTCCTTGGAATACGTGGTTTGAAAATCAGGGAAGAACAGAAAAATGTTGCAGATGATGGACAGCAGTGCCAGCGGATAAAGGCTGATGCCAATAAACTTGGAGCACTTTCCTGTACACATGATGTAAATATTTTGTTTAGTTAAAACTGAGAAATATTAAGCAGACTTTAAGCATGTAAGCCTTTCTTCTCGAGTGCTATAGTGAGGAGAGGATGGATTATAAATACTATATTTGACTAGACTAACACACCTACCTGTCGTCAGGTCAGTTATTGATGTCACATTTTTATGATTTATTGGTTGCCATAAAAATGATGACTGTACTTTGAATTACCAATGCCACTCTGTCAAAACATTATTTATTTATTTACTGAATGAAGAAACATACTGAATGGATGTTAGAAAAACAGTATTTTGAAGAAAGGAGAAATTGAATGTTATTGGTTGTTGGAGGTGTGGGCATGTGTGTGGCTCTTTACTGAACTCTGAACCTTTCATTGCACTTAAATTCAGATCCCACATGAATTTAACATGCTCTTATCAAAACAAACCAGCAGCGGAAACTCTGACCAAGTTCATATTAGTACATCAGATGTTTGCAAATTTTATTCCATGTAATTACAGCATGTCAAATCTATTAGGTAATCGATCAAGGTACAGATATATTGGGCCCTATGATTATGAGTTTAATTTTCACTAACAACTGCAATTGGATTTATATTGTATACTTAAGTTCACTGTTATCCCACCGGTCACTATTGTGACCATCAAGATGTTTACTCATTCTATGACCACACTCAACAAAACTGAATATATGTGAATTCATATATGAATACTAGACACCTTAAAGATAATGTGTACAAATAAATCTTTGTTATATCTTTATGTTAACATACTTTACTAGCCTTTCATTTTGGAGCTTTGATGCAGCCATTATTTTCTCAAGGTGGAAACAGGAAATAAACTGTTCTAGTCATGTGAATAAATTAAAACCTTTTTTACGGTCACTATTGTGACCGGTGGAATTAAATGGGTTAAAGGTCTTCAGAGTCAAAATAAAAGTTTGGTTTAACGAGTAAATTGTGAAAGAAATATATTACTCAATGTAATAGGCTAATAGTACTACTAATAACAAAATTATTATTAAAACAAAGGATAATCAAAATTTTTATTTCATGTTTTGGGGTTTGTTTAATTTTCATCAATGGCCACTGAAGCCCTGGAGCTCACATCTCGGAAAACGTCAAAGCAAATTTTCAAATAGACATTACTAACAAACCGCATTTTTGAAGTCTAAACAAGTACATTATCGCCTAAAAACTCTTAAAACTACATTCTGTGTGTCCGACTCTGTTCCATGTTTTGTGTGTGTCCTGCTCCCCATGTGCCTTCCCATGCCCTTATTTGGTTAGTTTCCTGTTCCTCCCCTGATTACTTGATGTTTCATTGCTCCCAGGTGTGTCTCGTCATCCCCTCCTCCTGTGTGTATAAATACTGTTAAACGTCTTCCTGAGTTCGTCTCCCTTGGTTCCTGAAAATAAAGTCTTGGTAAAGTATTCTCCAGCGTCTCCTCGTTCCTCGTGTGTGTGCATCGTGACACTGTGACACAACAACAGTATTTTTTTAATTAGCTATAGTGGATTAGGGCGTCTGCCGTGACACTGGCTGTGAGAAATACTGCAAGTGGAGTGATACAAATGGTGAAAGAGTTGAAGGAGCTCTATCATCACTCTAATAGCGCACCCTTATCAGGCGATCAGATTCTAGGACCAGAAAGAACTGGTGTGTTTGTGTGTGTGTGTGTGTGTTGTGTGTACATACATACATACATACACACATACACATATATATATATATATATATATATATATATATGGTGG